AGGAGGGGCAAATTGAATTTTTTTTTTTCCGTATTAAAATTCAATTTATTAATTGACTTATTAGGAGGGGCAGATGCAGTGAATAGAGAGGATGGGGGAAATCTAGTGGACTAATATTAAAATAGAGAAATGAATATTTCTTGTTTAATTGTCGATTTTTGCATAACATGACAAACATATAATGGAAATAGTCCATACACTGCATCAATGCATCATTACATAATCCTAGCATACACATTTAACACAACACTTCGCACTTCAACTTATTTTCACGCTTACATTACACACTTCCATTACCATACATTTCTACGATCATATAAAGATATTGGATGGAGCTTTCGTTTTAAGATTTTGAAGCCGCAGAATGAGCTTTAGCTTCAAGCTCTCCTAGAAACTCTGCGACTTTATCGATCTCTGGTGCCACATTCCTCACCGTCTCATCAGACAAGAATTTGTCAGCCCATTTACAAAGAGAAGGAGTTTTTAATTCGTCTAAAAGCTTTTCTCCTTTAAGCTTCTCTCTAGCTTTCAAGAGAACCAAAAAGCTTCCAAGGCAAATGTCCATAAACCCGATCGCTTCGCCACGAAAAAAGGGTTTCCCTTTGCTTATAGCAACAAATGCTTCCTCGAGTTGCAATATCCCTTCTTCTACTTCTTTCATGCCTTTCTCTTTTGCGTCTTCCGATTTGGTGATCACTGCCGCTCTGAAAGCTGGAAACCACTGCATTTTAAAAGGGAAATTTAGCAACAAAACAAAAAAATGTGAGGATTTTTTTCTCTAAATCTTAAACAAATTAAGCATAATGGGTTACTCTTAATAAACCTTGATTATTTCCACGGTAGAAGCATCCTAAGTTTACAATGATCAAGTTTTAACTCATTAATTAAAGATATATTTCGGACAAATTTGATCAAACATCCATCAATATATTATGGGTTATTAAAAACTAATAATAGTTTAGTTCTTTATATGAAATCTATAGTATAATCAGCAATCTGCAACAAGAAAAAAAACGGGATTAGGTTTCAATGATTTGAAGCCTAATTTTTCACATTTCACATTGCATGGTCCTTTTAATTTCAACAATCTAGCCATATATGTATAATCAATATCACTTTGTCACTCACAGAGGCATATCACTAGTATCCACCTAAGAACATCAAAACTTCATCGCACAAAACACTAATTAACAAATAAAAAATTCTTACAAAAGAGGAAACTGAATTTATTGGACCAACAAAAAAAAAAAAACAGAAGCAGACCTTGTTATCAACGAAGGCAGACCAGAAGCGAGCAAGAGCACGATCATGAGGATGGGAAGGAAGAATGGACCGTCCAGATGAGTTCCAGGTCTCATCGATGTACTCAACGATTATGAGAGACTCAGAAACCGGTTTGTTGTTGTGGATGAGAACCGGGACTTTCTTGTAAACCGGGTTCGATTTGAGAAGAAGCTCGCTCTTGGAACCGAACAGATCTTCCTCAACGTAATCGTAGTCTATCGATTTGAGACGAAGAGCGATCTTTGCTCTTATGACGTACGGACTGTACCATACTCCCAATAGTTTCACTTCCTCTGCGTCTCCCATTTTTTTTTGTTTGGTTTGAAATATTTTGAGTGTAAAATCCACGATCAGGGTTTCCTACCAATAACTTTCACTTCCTTTGTTTGGTGTAAAATCGGTCAAGAAGAAGAAAATTTGAGTGGTGAGGCCAGTTTTGTATTACTTCACGGCTCTTATCTTCTTCCTATTTTGTTGGCTTCAAGTCTCACGTTTTCTTTCTTGTTTCCATGTGTATTTAAACTCAAAAAGTATTCAAAACAATTTGTGAACACACAAGGCCTTTACAGAATGTGTGCCAAATGACAGTTAAGGACATATTCTCATTAAAAAAAGCTTACATAAGATTAAGATTTTCCAAATGTTTCAATTGAGCTAGAGATGAAGATAGAGTTTCCAGAGTACACTCCTCGCTGTCGAGTATGATTGAGAGACCCCTTAGCTTTGTCATACTGTGAAGATCCGTCACACTGCTACGCTTTGTTGAGAAATTCCCCAGTCTCTCCAAGTTGATTAGATTGCCTAATTCCAACTTTGTCTCATCTTGTATATTCCTCGGTAAAGCGAGGTATCTCAATTCTCGCAACTCCTTCAAGAAATCGGACATGTAGACTTGCAACATAAAATGTACATCAAGATTCAAATAGAGCAGTGACTTCAGATTCCGCATAGAAGAAGGCAGAATACATACATGTGCCTGACATAAACTCAAATATCTCAAGTGGATGAGCTTCCCAATGTTAGAGGGCAACTTCCCTCCTTCAAACTTGGCTCCAGAGAGATCTAATACCCTCATCAACTGTAGACTTGTAAAGCTTAAACAAGATGCCATCCACATCGACATTGACTCTCGGAGCAAGAGAGATCTAAGTTTTGGATTCTTTATACGAAATGTATCATCACATGAATGAATGACGATTCTGCGACTTTTACAAGGAGACTGAGAGCTTGCAGTTGAGTTCATGGTACTTGCATCAACAATTTGTAGGAAATTTTCTTCTTCAGCTTTAAGCAGACAAACTTCTCGCACCATGTCATGCAAGTGGCATGTTTCAAATCTTGAAGTACGAAAGTCCCGTTCAGAAATAACCATGTTTCTCTTCACCAGTTCTTCCATGTACCCATCTGCCACCTCCCGAGTGGTTGCTCCATCGTAATACCTCGGCCTCTGTATTCCTTCTGCGGCCCAATAATATGACAAATCCCCCACATTAATTGCATAATCTTCTGGAAAATGGGCAAGATAGAGGAAGCAGTTCTTCAAATAAATAGGCAGTAATGCAACACCCTCGTTGCGAGAAGTAAGTAGTACCTTCCAACCTATACAAAATATTCTCTCTTTTAACATAACTCCCTAGTAAAAAGGAACATAATGCTTTACGACCAATATGCGTATATCATAGGGTTAAGATGTAACCTTTATTGCGTGGAAACATTGGTTTGATTATGTCCCAATCTTCTTCTCTCCATATGTCATCAAGGACAATCAAAACCTTTTGTGTTTCCAATACTCCATAGAGTTTTTCTTGAAGTTCGTCATTTGTCATGTCTAACACTTTACATTCTGGCCTAAGTTTTCGTAAGATTGTCTGCCACACCTCTTTCCTTGTAAACTGTTGTGAAATGCATACCCACGCGAGTCCTGAAAAATGACATTTTACTGTCTCATGATTAAAAACTCGTCTTGCAAGGGTGGTTTTACCAATACCGCCCATCCCAGTTATAGAAACAAGTCGACTGCTATCTTCTTCGACCAAACAATCAACCAATTTCTTAACGTTTTCCTCCAACCCCACAAGAACGCTTTCACTGTCGCTAGAAAACGTTTGTCGCATTTCCCTCTGTCTTTCTTGTAGAGACTGGATATACCCTTCATTGACAATGACTTGTTGTACGCCGAGACTCTGCATATCACGGATCACCTTTGAGATCCTCTTGCTTATGGCTTCCATATCGAAAGCAAGTCCCATGCGTTTCACAAAAACGCAAGAATATCTTCTAATGATATTCGTGTCGCCACTCGTTTTTCCTAGTTCTTCCTTGAGAAGAAAAGTTTCGATGATATCTTCTGCATCATAAACAATTTCCTTGATCTCTTTCACAGTGTTTCTCACCATTGAACTTGCATGTTTCTTGGCATCTGCATCTTCCAAGAAGCACCTTAACATATTCAGATCGCTTTTTAGTCCATTGAATTGGCCATCAACTCCCTGAAGTCGCTCAGATTCTCGGACAAGGAGGTTCCAAAGCTTCTCGACTCCGAACGACAAGAGTGTTTCAGCCATAAATCTCCTGCTAAACCAAGAAATGAAAGTAGTAATTAATAATCACTATAGGAGAGGAGGGTCCATGAATTGATCACTCATAAATTCATAGACCAAAATAAACTATTATGTGGGATAAAATCTACAGAGACATGAGCATTATTGAGGTTCATAAAACAAAAAACAAAAAAGATGGAAATCGCTTCTCGTCCAAGTAGATCTGCGTAAAGAAATAGGCGACGTGTTTTGGTCAGAAGAAGTCTGCTAGAGACTCATTCCACGACTTTGACTCAAAAAACAAAGTCAATGCTAACCGACGACAAGTTTATATTTAACAACTAATCGCCGCGCGTTAGATCCACGCGCGGGCCATTTCTCTCCCACTCGGCTCATTGTCGAGGTGGCGGCGGGTTTATGTCGGGAATGGAGGTGCGTATCTCTTTGTGCTGGAGGCGGTTGTTTAAGGCCGTGGAGAGGCTCTTTCGTACCTTTTCCCATCATAGGACTCTCTGCCTAGAGTAGACCCATTTTGTTGTTAAGCTTTCTCTGTGTATTTCCATAGCTCGTTTCTCTCCGATTACCGGAGGTGTATGTGTGTGACTGTTCCGGCGCCATTTTTGGGATGAAATTAATATTTTTACTAATTAAAAAATGGAGAAATGCTAACCGACAACTAGCTGTAGTGAAGATAGTGTTCTATCAATTCATTCTATTATAGTCACTTCCTACTTGCCACGTGCTATTATTTTACATCCTCGATCAGAAGAGAAGGTAAGTAACCAAGTTTTTTTTTTCACTCGAAATATTATATTAAACACGATGAAATTCGATTTCGGAATTCAAAGGTGGGACAAAATTGTAAAATACGATGATGAAATATAAAGCTGATGTCAATAGGAACGACATCAGAGTCAAACACTATAACCGAAAACCAAACATAAACTTATTGAACACAAACTAAATCCCGAACCACGAAGATCCAATCTCGAACCACATCTCAAAGGAGCCAAACGCTAATGCTAACCATTCACAAGAAGACCGAATGAAGGAACCCTTGCATCAACAGGATCATACACTGCAAGTATAAAGGAGACGTGGGAACTGCAAACGCACCCGAGGCGACACACCGAAGCCCGAGACCAAATCAAAGCCAAGAAAGTGTGACAATAACCAAGACGAACCATGAAGAGGAGATCATCAATATCAAGAGTAGAACCCAATCCCACCTATGAGACTTTTATTGATACACAATCCAATGCACTAACGCAACTGTTGATACGCAWCGCMRATGAAAAAAAAGTTAGAGAGGAAACTAAACTGATAGTCGAGATAAGAAAGCCTCAAAACCATCAACTTCACTAGGAAAGAGTCACACTTCAATCAACCCCAAGAGCACTCCTAACAAAAGGCCAGGACACGAAGACAAACACACTAAAACAACTAGAGATGAGAACTCGATTGAACTAAACGATCCAGAATAAGCAAATGTCCAAAACTAGAACGACTAGAGCCAAACGACAATTCAGAGGGAGCAAAGAGAGAGTCTAGACCTCTAAGACAAAGACCACCCAATAAGAAACCTAACAGATCAAAGCACAAGGCCACCGACCGATAAAAGCCCATACCGGAAATGTAGACCAGAACAGATGGAGATGCGAAATCTGGATCCCGACCACACAGGACCAGAACCGAGATCCCACAACCTTAGACGACGAGGTCCGACCATCTTGATATGCAGCAACGAAGACCTCACAAAGAAAACAAGGAGCAACACATCCTCAATCATCGAGCGAAACTGAGCCAAACGCTAAGCCCCGATCTACACCGGACCAGATCTCAAACGCCGAATCCAAACCCTCCATGAAGACCCTCAGATCTGCCGATTAGAACCTAT